ATCGCAGTTATAGTTTTTACGTGTCCTTACTCTACACAATCTTTTTAGATAATAAAATAATATGTAATGAAAGAAGGTAATGGATTTTGTAGAGCAGAAAATTCTCTATCAAATGAGTCTAAGAATCAAGTCTTAAAACCCCAGTTAAGTGCACGGAAATACGTTGCAAAAATGTGTCATTATTTCTGGGCTACCCGTTATAGGAAATGATATTTATAGCCTAGGTACTTTTTAATAGAAGAACATCTAGAACACTTTTTATCTTAAACTTGGAGAGACAAGTAGATATCATTTTATTACTGTATATTTCTTCATTTAAAATAAATCTTTACATGGAAGACGGGGGAATAGAAAAATGAACTCTATTGTTTTTGTTAATTATATTTTCTTTTTTGTCTCAATGTTTTTTACAATTTTCACTTATTTCACGAGTTTTTTCTTAGCAATATCAATACCTGTGATCTATTGATAAAATATAGCGTATCAAATCACAAACCATATGTGACCTTGGGACGTGTTTGATGTTGGTTAAGAGTACAATTATATAAAAGAGAATATCTATTATTATCTGTTTTTTTCATACGTGATTGTGTATCACGTAAAAGTAATTTGATGTGGAAATGTCATTCTGATTCAATAATCGTACACGTTTGTATTTCGGAATATAACGTATTCGTCATGTATAAGATCCTAATAATTTTATATTTACTTACGATCCATTGTGCATATAAATATGTTTCATCATTTGATATATTACAGGAAAAATATACGAACATAAACCTACAAGGTAGTCATTAAATGAAGAAAAATTAATTATTTAGATAATCAGAACTGTTTTTAGATAATCCACATTCAGATTCGTTACCAAAATATACAGAAACCAGCTATACTATTCAAAGATCTGGATATAATCAGAAGTATTTCCTCTTTTTTTCTTATTACATATGAATACATTTTTATCTCTACTGAGCAACTCAATTTTTGCTTTAACACATCTGGAATATATTTTATCTATCCATAGGCACTATTTTGGTTTTTTTTATAGACTGTCATTGTGCGAGTAAATTGCCTTGTAGTGGAGATGGTTGTAGTAATTGTGTCTGTTCACCAGGGTTTTCGGGTCAATACTGTAACAAAAGTAAATAAAAAGTTTTAAAATTTTTCTAAAATAAATTCAATTCTTTCTTTTATCTAGAATGTCCAGCAGGTAGTTTTGGAATTCATTGCACACAATTGTGTCGATGTAATGATCCTGATTTATGTAATCCTGAGACTGGAGAATGTCAAGGATCTTGTATGAAAGGATGGTATCATCATCAATGTTCACGTTTTCAATGTCATGGATTAGCAGCAGGCTTTTATCCTGATGTTACATCGTGCTCTCGGTAATAAATAGATAATCAAAGAAAATAATTACAATTTAAAATTTATCTGAGTGTTTTTGTTTTTTTTTCTATGCTAAGTGCTAAAACTTATAGTTATCAATGTCTTTACTTTTATCTTAAGATTTTATTGGTGTCAAAAAGGATCACATTATGGACTTCTGATTACTTGTCCAAAGAATCTTCATTGGGTAGATAAACTTTTACAAATTTCTTTTTAACTTGTTTCGTACATGTGTTGATATTTTTTTTTTAAAGATACCTGAAACTGGTAATTGTACTGAACCTAAACGTGTAAATTGTACAATTGAAAAAACGTATACAAATGGAAGTGTTAGAGGTTTGTCAATTATTTATAGTTGATGATTTACATTCTTTAATTTGTATAATCTTTTCTTTTAGCAAACACATTTCATTCGTACTTGAATCAACTTCGTCAATCGTATAATTCATCTATTTGTAAACAAAAAATAACTTTCAATACTGAATTAATAGTTTCACCATCTTGTGCATCTACTTTACGCAATATTACATTATATGATTATACAGCACGATTACATTATGCAGTACAAAATTTTGCTTGGCGATCGCATGATACATCGTACGAATCAATTTATGATTTTGTAAAAACAGCCGGCTTAGCGTTATATCGTCACGATCCAAATCATTGTCACATTTATCATGAATGTGTCTATATAAGTGTTCGTAATCAACCAGCCAAAGCTGATTTTAGTCACACTACATTGAATTATTGTGATGGTTTAACAATATTTAATCGACAATGGTCAACATGTGTGAATGCTACGCATGTCAGTTATGGTTATGGATCAACAATGGATGATCATGATAAACAATTTCGATGTAATAAACAAGTAACATCAGCAGCATTCTATAATTTAGAACGTAACGATTTATATATTAGAGAAAATGATTATTCAAGAAATATAAATTGAAAATAAACACGAATTTTCTCTTTTTTTCCATAGAATAGACAATTTTTTCGTACAAGTTTATTTCTAGTTAAGTAAAACTTAATAAAAGAGGAATACTTCAGCTTATGACCTTCATCGAGCTATTTCAATTTTTACCTTCTTTATTTATAAATACAATGCAAAAATATATACAAATACATTTTGTATTTCAAGTAGAATATATTTTTTGTTCATTATTATCTTGAAATTGAAAATTTCTTCGAACTTTATTAATGAGATATTCACCATAATAACATTCTGGACTTTTAGCATCTGTTTTTAATTTGACATCGGCATTTGGTTCAAGAAAAAATGGAACGCTGACACGATCACGAGCTGGTTGAATTGGACTACTCACACGATGTAATGTTGAACGATATTTTCCCTGTGTTATAAATGAGAGTATATCACCAATATTACATGTTAAAGCAATTTCATTATTGACAATAATTGGATCAGCTGAAACATATGTTGAAGAATTTTGTTCATTATTCATTTTTACATATAAACAATTTTTTGAATCGAGATCTTGATTAACAAATGTAAGCCATCCATAATCTGAGTGTTCACCACATCCTTCTCCATATTCTTTATCGTGTTGTGTACTCGGTTCGACAGCTGGATATCGAATACAACGAATTACCTAAACATAAAAGTATGAGATTAGTTGAGTAAAATTTTGAGCATTTTTTCTTCTTTTAATAATCTTACCCAAAATGAATCGTTAAATGTTGAGGCAAAATAATTTAATGGTAAATTGAGTGAAAGAGCTATTGCACGCATTATTCGTTCACCGGCATGTTTCATGTTTGCTATATATTCAGACATAACATCATAAAATATTCCAGATGGTAATGGTTCTTGAGGATAAGGATTATATCCTATCGCTAATTCACGATAATCTGGTAACTTATCACTATTTGGATTTTGTTCAAATAATTTTCGAATTGGATGATTACTGTTAAATCAAATAGATTAGTGATGATATAAATGGAGTTAGAGTCAAACATATTTTATACCTTTCTAGTTCACGATATAAATCGAAGCCTTCATGACGATCTCGTCGTTGATTTGTCACATTTTCTCCAAGACTTTGATAACCTCGACCAAAACCACCCCGTTGATTAGATGACATGTTTGCCGGAGAATTCAAATATTGTCTCACTGCATATTTATTTTTTATTTCTAAATCCAGATTAAAAAATTCACGCGTCACTGCTAATGTGCGAGTGAGTAAATTATTTGAAATACCATGACCTAAAAAAAGTGTTTTTGTTACAATAAAGAAAACAAACTATCGTCTGTCTTTATTTACCAATGGCATAAAAGAAGCCAACATGTTCACATGCATTTGCTAAATTTTGAATAATATTTTTTGTTTCCTGAGTCGACAACTGGCTGTCATTTTCATTATCACATGCAAATGGTGAAAAATTAATAACAGGAAGAACAGGATACAAGTTCGAAGATGGTTTGATTGAGGAATGTGCATAGGCCGAATTATTTCTTTTATTAAGATTGTTCCATAACTAAACAGGAAATACATCTGACTAAAAACCGGTATGTTGAGATAAATACACCCTGATAATTACAGATAATGAAAGTTCTATTCTATAGATCGTGGGATCATGGGCAATTTTGTGAAATAATTATACGTACATGATTCTTTAAAACTTTGTTTTTCGAGAAGAGATTTCGC